TATTCTTATTTTAATTTAAATATACAATTTTTTTATCTTAACTTAAAATGTTTAATTTTAATAATAAATATAGTTCACACGCCTATGTGTGTCTTAAAACTAATAATTTTAAAGTATGACTGAATTTTAATTGATGTCATTTAATTTAATCACATTTATTCAATTGGAAAACTATACAAAAGTTAAATTATAAAGTAAAATATATACATTTATAATAATAATTTAATTTTTCATTAAAATAAAATTATATCAATTCATTTCTTTTTTCTTAAAAAAACTATATGTAAGTTACACTTTTAATTAGTTTTAGTTTTATGAAAAAATTATTCTTTGATTTTTCTAAATAAAAATTAATTAATTATATGCTTTTTAATTTTAAAAAATTACTATTAATACAAATAAAATTTTCACATAGTCTATGTAAAATTGATGTAAATTAGAAGTCAACCAAACCAACAACAATTTTGATCGGCTACCTTACATATAAATAAATCGCCAGCCTAAGCTATTTTCCCATTTTTTCTCTCTTCCGCTCTCATTTTCCGGGAAAAAGGAAAAAGGAAAAAAGAAAAGATGTACGGATACGACCGCGTAAGCAACACGAGCGGCGGCAAGGCAGATGAGATAGATCTAGAGTCGGGGGAGACTTTATACCCGGGACTCAGCTACGGCGAGAACCAGCTCCGCTGGGGCTTTATCCGCAAGGTTTACGGCATCCTGGTCGCCCAGCTGATTCTAACCACCGTCGTCTCCGCCTTCGTCGTTTTGTCGGCTCCGGTCAACGACCTCCTCCGTGGAAATTCCGGCCTCTTACTCTTCCTGTGTTTAATCCCCTTCATCTGTAAATTCCTTAACCTTCTTTTCTTTTTCATTCAAATTTTGTTCTTTCCTTATCCTCTTGCTTTAATCCTACTGAATCTTGAATATTGCATGAATAAAGACGTTTCTGGTTTCCTTTAAATGGTATGTGTGCGTGTAAGTTAATTAGGGCACTTTTCCTTGATTGTTGTAAATTTGATCTCCTTCAAATGTTATGTTAAGGTTAGATTTAATAACAAATCGTGTCTTTGACTTGAATTTTGAACATAATTTGTTTCTAAAGTCAGTTTTCTGGACTGCCAAAATTTTGATTATTGAAGCTGTAAAAATTAAAATTTGATTGAAATATCTGATGCCTAAATTTTAGGAAGAAATGGAGTATGATAGATTGATAGGTTTGTTTTTTTGAACTATATTTCGAAGTATGTGTATTGGGTAAAGGATTTGGCGAACATTTTGGTCGAATCGACATCAACAACAGCATTCTACAGTTGTCTTGCATATGGGTTCTGTCTGTTATTTGCTTTATTCGGATTCCTTTCATGGGGAATTTATGAATTTAGAACTTCTAATTGTCTCCTTTTATCTAGAAAATAATCAATGGACTGAGTAAAGGATTTGACAAAAGTTATGTTGCCTAAACAAGGACAGTATTCTGCACTATTATCAAATTGATATATCTTGTTCTTTGCCTTATTCAAATGCTTTTCATGGGTATTTATGGGTTTAGAATTTATACCTGTCTCATTTTGTATAGACTTTTCTCAAGTATATGCATTGAGTAAAGGATTTGACAACGGTTTTGTGCCCTGAAAAAGCGATTCTGTAAGTCTATACATATTGTTTCTATCTGTTCTCCTCTTTGTTCATATTTCATGGGGAATTTGTGGGTTTAGAACTCTAGCTGTCTTGTTTTGTTTAGTCCAATTATATAGTATGGATTGAGCAAAGGATTTGGCAAAAGTTTTGGCCCTGTAGACAAGGACAACATTCAGCAATTATCTCCATTGATTTATTCTATCTGTTCTTTTCTTTATTCTGATGCTTTTCATGGGCAATTTATGGGTTTAGGATCGCATTTTGCACCTTCATGTTATATTGGGCTTTTACAATGCCGCTATGCACTGTTCTTAACCTACAGGTCCAACACTAATACCGCAGAACTTTGTGTTCTTTTGACAGTTTTTCTGTCAGAATAGGATAAAGGGATGTAGATTGTTAAATACTTTGAAATTAGGATATAGAAAGCTTATGAATAATAGCCTTTTGTATTTGAAATATTTGGAAGTTGTTAGTTCCTATAATAATTTTGTAAACTAAAACCTCCGGAGTTGTTAATGAATACCTTTAATGGTCTCTGATTAATCAATGAGGTAGGTTTCAAACTCTTGGTAGTCATTGCAGTCTTAGTTACCTAAACAACTAAACTATGTTACTCTAATTCTTCATTTTGCTTGAAGTTCTCTTTTCCGGACACGATATGACCGTCTGAAGATCCTCCAAGCAAATTGATAAATTGTTAAAAAAACATTTTTTAAGATTTTACGGAGTTCTATTTGATCCATTGTGTCTTGTTTCTCTTCTTTATCTTAAACTTTAAAACCTATTCCGTGCAGTGTTTGGCCTTTGCATGTCTATCACCAAAAGCACCCAGTGAACTTGGTTATCCTCGGCCTCTTCACCGTGTCACTGAGTCTCACAGTTGGTGTGAGCTGTGCTAATACAGATGGTTAGTATCTTGATGCTTGTCATCAAACATCCTTATCATAGTCGTAAATCATGAATTATTACTAATCATCCATGTTTGTATAATTTCAGGAAGAATTGTACTTGAAGCACTAATTTTGACGGCAGCTGTGGTTGCATCTCTTACCGGCTACACTTTCTGGGCATCGAAGAAGGGCAAGGACTTTAGCTATCTGGGGCCAATTTTGTTCACCAGCCTTATTATCCTCATCTTAACTGGTCTAATCCAGGTGAGATGTTTTACGGTATATGATTAGTCATGCTTCCACAAACCCGAATCGAACTTAGTATACGTGCTTCTATTATTATGCAGATGTTCTTCCCACTCGGCCCTGCATCTACTGCTGTGTACGGTGGAATTAGTGCCATGATTTTCTGTGGGTACATAGTGTACGACACCGACAACCTGATCAAACGTTTCACGTACGATGATTACATATTGGCCTCGGCCACTCTCTATTTGGACATCCTGAATTTGTTCATCTCCATTCTACGGGTTCTGAGATCCGGCGATAACTAGTTATACATGTTGGAAAAGTGATCAAGTAATTGCCTGAAGAATATGTCTACACAGTTAAGTACATTCTCCAGACTTACAAATCTGGTTGCACCAATTTGTACTTATTTTTCTAATTAATCGTACATTTTCTAGTATTTACTTGCTACATGCAAGGCTTTAATAAAATTACGTTTGAACGGTACAATCCTTGTGTAAAATGGCGTCAAAATTCAATTATAAAGTGTAAATAGTATTTTTTGAGAAAAAGTCTTGAGAAAAAGAGTGATTGATATGGGACAGTAAGAAAGTTATTTTCTGAGGTAGGATAAAATGCATAGTAAAGGGGGAGTCGGCCGGAACATCCGACGTCTTTGAGAAGCTGACTGGAGCATCCGACGTTATCCCCGTAAAATTAGATGATGCTCTTCCGCAAACGGCAAAGAGACTACTGAAACTCAAACCAAATACCCATAAAATTTCGTTGAGGGAGGTCAGTTATGGTGTTTCGAGAGATGAAAAGCTTGAAGAGGTTAGATGTTTCGATTGACTTTCGAAGGCATTAGACATTACGGGGGACTTCTGACGTCTATTGTAACATTTAAAATAGATCAGAAAATATTTTCTCCAACGCCTTACATGAAAAAAAAAATCACCACCTTATTCGACTATTTTTGCCGATTTAGATGAAGATGAGTAAAATTCAACTTGACTTAAAAAATCGATTTTTTTACTCAACTCGAACAAATTTGAGTTGAATTGACTTCGAGTTGTAATTTCATAAACTCGAGTAAACTCGAAAAAAATTCAAGTTCAAATCGAGTTATAAAATATAACTCAAATAACTATAAATTTTTAGTAATTAGTGGATTAGTTTTCAAGTCTGAGTCGAGCTTCTTAACTCTATATGATATATGTATATCACATAAGAAAAAATATGAATAATTAGTATTGTATATGATTATAAAAAAATCATTCAAATTGGAATCAAATATATTATAATATTATAAATATTTACAATTAAATTTAAATAAAAATTCAAAAACTCGATTCGAATTAAATTTTGTAAACTTGACTCGACTTGAAAAAGAATTTCAAATCAAATTTATGTTATAAAAGAAGACTGGTCAATTGAGAGTTATGGAGGATCATAACCACGTCCCATATCTAAATATATTTAGTAATCATATTTCCCATATCTAAATATATTTAGTAATCATATTTCAATCAGTACTTCAAGCAAAATGACGAATCAGAGTAGTATGACTTTTTATTGTTACAACAAATAAAACATTAGTCGTTTTGCACGCACTCTGTAGCGAACATCCTAATGACACTCAATAGCATTTTAATAAATTAATTTTCCTAAGTATAGTGTTTTCTACGGTGCGTTGAGGAAGACTTAAAATTTTATATATTTTAGATATTTCACTTGTAATTTCTATTGAAAAATATGTTTTTGTCTCTCTAAAGTATTATAAATTTGTTTTCCCTTAAAATTATATAAATGCGTCCCATAACATAAAATTCTATGTCAATCCTTGGTCGGACGACATGATGTCTTCTACAGATAACCTATATTCACGCTTCTACTGGGTCATGTACGGAGATTAAAAAATATCGTCTCATTTGACCTTTTTTTCAGAAGACGTCTTCTCGTTCGATCGTTTTCCACAAATATAATAGACTTCTCCGTAATTGAGAGAAAAAAAACCAATTGCAATACGCATGATTTTTTTTGATGTTTTATCTGGTCATTTTTTCCACTCTAGCATGTTAGTATTAGATTGACAGAATGATCTAATTGAAACGATATTGATAGTTTGAAGATTTATTAAAATATTTTTGAAGCATGAGGATGAATTTAAAATTTGGATATAAGATAGGGACTTTGATACAATTAACTCAAATTCGTCAAATTTATCCCGACATCTTTCGCTTTGACTTTACTCGTCAAAAACCCTCTGTTAGGGTTTCCAGAATTCCCAAATTAAAAATGAATCCCTTCTGCAATCAACAGCACTAACACTCCCCAGTGTTTTATTCTTCATAGTCTTCAACTTCAAACCCAATTCGAGTTTCAAGCAAAAAAGACGAAAAAAGGGTTTCTTATCCAACACACTGAAGAAAAAATGAATGGCAGAAAAAGAGCAGCCATTAAAGCTTCAACAAGCATCATCCCCTTCGAAAATCAAGAATCACCCATTCTTCCTTGCAGGATTCTCCTACTCCCTCGCCGCACGATCTACGAAATCCTCGCGAGGCTCCCAATCAAAACCCTTTTCCAATGCAGGTCCGTTTGCAAGAGGTTCCTTTGTTTCATCTCAGATCCCGAATTCGCGAAGCTTCAGCTTTTAAAATCTCAAATTTGCATCTTAATCAAGACTCAGCCGCTCCAGAACGCTTCCAAGAGACTCCAGTTAGCTCACGTTGAGTCCAGTGCCTCGAATTTCCAGGTCTCGAAACTCAACTTTACCCCCAAGTCAAATCTCCCAACTATTGAGATCTCTCATATGAATGCTTGCAATGGTTTGCTTTGTTTAATTGGGTCTGAGAAAGATTATAACTTCTATGTTTGTAACCCGATTTTGGGTGAATTCATCACCATTCATCCTCCTTATAAGGATAGGCAAAGAGGTAGCTTTTGGGGGCTTGGTTATTCAACTATGATGGATCAATACAAAGTTCTGCAGAGCTATTATCCGGTAGTTGAATCCAATAATCGATATGTGATGGCTGAGATTTACACCATTGGAACTGGTACATGGAGGAGCATTGGAAATGCACCAATTGATACCGTTGCTATGCCGTTCAATGCTTTCTTGAATGATTGCCTTCACTGGTTTCCTTGTACTCCAAATGGTAGCGAATTCATTCATACTTTTGACTTCAATTCTGAAAAGTTTGGGACACTCCCACCGCCGGATCATTTCCGAGAAGATGATAAGAAGTTCACGAATTACTCGAGGATTGGTGTGCTTGGAGGGTGTCTGTTTATGATTTACTTCACAAATTCGTCACGGTTCGATATTTGGGCTATGAAGGAGTATGGTGTGAAGGAGACGTGGACCAAACAGTTTGTTATTGAGAATTTGTATCCCAAGCAAGGCAGTTGGGATTTCTATGAACCGATGGTTGTTTTGAACAATGGGGAGATTTTGATGTTGTACAATAATGATGCAGTGGTTTGTTACAATCAAAAGCGGAAAAATCTTCGCGGAACTAAGTTTTTCCGGACTCGTTCACAGTTTGATGCCACTGCTTTCACCCCTTCACTGGTTTCTCTTGACAATGTTGCAAAAGGAGAGCAAATTTCTAGGTATTAATATGTGCATATATTATATGCACATATGTATTTATTTGTTTATATACATGTTTGCATGTATGTATACATTCATTCAGTACCCATGCATTTGGTTTGCTTAAAATGAGTGCAAGTCGGCAATATATATATATATATATGTATGTGTGTACATATATTAAGTAGTCGTGTTTGCATTGTTTAAAATGAGTGTAAATTGACTATATTTTTATGTATGTATCTGTGCTTATGCACACACACGCATATATATATTAAGTACTCATGTGCTTGTTTTGTTTTAAATGATTGCAAATTGGCTATATGTATTGTATGCATGCGTGTGTATACTTTCTCTGAGGTTTCATTTATTCCATACGAGCTATGGTATATTTCATCATATATTGTTTTGTTGATTGAAGATCATAAGTTATAGGAATCCTGATGTAGGTAAAGTTTGGAGTGTTACTTGGACTCGAGTTTTAGTGTCAAATGTTGGTATACACTTGACACGGGTATATTCAAATTTTTTTTCTAAGTTTTTCCATTTTTTGGAGGACCCTGGTAGGATCGTATTCTACCTATATCTGAAAATGTATCCAAGCGGTGCTGGACACCCATGTCCAACATGGGTATCAGGATATATCCTCCCCATGACCTTTTAAATTGCGTGCGAAACATACTAGTATACAAAACTAACACCCGAGTCTAACTAACATAGCCCATTGTAGCCGTTTAATGATAAGATGCTTAATAAATTGCGTGCGAAACATACTACTATATGACACTAACACCTCAGTCTAACTAACAATCAGAGCTGGGTTACTACTCTTCTTTTCGTCAGAATGGGGGTCAAAGGGTCGCTTGATTTTGGAAATTGACTGTAGGAATGCGTTGGAGTGTATTAAGAACCCTGCTTCGTGTCCCACATGTTTTGAGTTCATTGTTAGGGATATTTTGTCTATTGTAATGACTCAAGTGTTATTTCGTCCTATCCAGAGAAGCGCTAATTGGGAGGTGGATGAGTTAGCCAAAAAAAAAAGGATAGGCTGATGTTAGGGAAGTATTTGGTCTAGTCTAGGTGGTTTTCATGTAAAGGTGCGTCTTTTATGATCTTGTATCTTTATGGGTTGATTTAAACCCTTTTTCCTAATAATACATGAGGTACACTTTTCCTCCTTCCTCTATTTGTCGATCTACCTTTTTGGCATATTGACAATTATGAAGGGCGTTTTTAATGAGACCTCCAATTCTTATAAAAAAATGATAAGATGTGCTTTAGCTATTTAAAGCTAGGGTATAATTGCAGCTTTGGATCATTTAAGACATGCGTACTCGATGCCCGAGTTGTTAGGTTGATCCCATTGCTTTGGATTTTCATTTTTCTTGAATTACTTGTATCCAGTACCCAATGTCTGACACATATTTGGTCATGGCTATAAGGATATGACTCCCAAAGACCCTCCAAATTCATGGAAAACACAAAAGAAGAAATACTCCCATGTTCAACATATACTTGCATCTGACGCTCAAAAATGAGTTTGAGCAACATAGGTTTTATCATGCCATATTATTCCCGTATATCCATGTGGTTTTTACGCTGAAAAGATACTAATATGTAGGATGCAAGGCACCAAAGACTATGACAGGCTTTGTACCGATGATTTCCATGATTGTGTTGATTGTGGAGCGCAACTCGTTCACCCTATCTGTAGTTTCTCGCCTTTTGGAGTTGCCTATGGTGCTGTAAATTATCATGTGAGTCTCTTTGTTTCCTTGAATTTGTATTCCAGTCTCCGATTGAATATGCATTGACATCAGTTGTGATTGAATGACAAATAAAATGTAAAGAATTTTCAGGCAGATATATATGGGAGAAACCCAGAGAACAGATGCGCAGCATGTACGGATCGGCGAGTTACTCCGACGAAATCGTTTCTTAGCCTGTGGAATCTGTGAAGAGAACAGTGATTGATAGATGACGAGCGAGCTCGACTTGTGGTATCAACTTAATCCTTTGGGATTTACATTATCCAATTCAGCAACTGAACTTTTCTGCCTTATTTTCGAATGTTATTGCTCTTTTGTGCTTGTAAATATTCGAAACAACTTCCTGCTTAACTAGGGAAAATTAGTTTGTTAATTAGTAGCGTAAACCGCGAACTGCCATTGTTGTGCTTTCAATTCCGTAACTGGACATTGTTACTTATCATTTTCTTTGAAATGTCAATGTTTTATACCCGAGTTTGAGTCCGAGTCCGACTCGAATGACGGGTCAATAATCCTTTGAATTCTAAGAAAGCTCGCTCAAAAACGGAAGAAATGTCATGTTTAAAGCCTCAACTGATAAGCATTAGATTGTTGAGGTACATAAGCTTGTATTATATTCGTGTATTTTATTATACTTGTTATATATGATCACGTCAATACGTTATTGATATATATATATATTTATAAGAAAGCATAAAACATTTTGAAAAATATCACTCATGTTTTATGAAATTATTAGTAAATATAATTAACATTTGAAATGTCCAAACGTTAAATTAAATATAACTTTGTTAACAACATTTTATTATAAAATATTTAATGTGTTATATGTTGTATACGCTAATACTGGGATGAATTATTAATAAATATTGTCCGATGGCTGATTTAAATCGGATGAAATATATAGAAGTTTTTTGAAGAGTAAAATTGTTAAAACTATGAAAAAAAAGCATAATGACAAAATTAGTCCTTAATATTTGTGTGAGTGTTTATTTTGTCCTTTTTTTTTTTGAGATTTTAGTTTTTAATGTTTCAATATTTCTCAAAATAATTCTTGTGGGGTGAAAATCATTAATTACTTATGTAACATTTTTGCACGTGTTTGATAATATAACAAATATCATGTCACTAAAAATAATAACGTGATAAAAAAAATATTAAATCCATAAAAATTTAAAATTTTTAAGAAATATAATCTCCACGTCTTTATCAGTCCATCGCTTTATATATTTATATATGTGTTTGTATATATATAAATGTGTGTGTGGGGTTGTTCCAAGTGTCAAAAAACCAGAATGGTAGGATGGGTATTTCTTGTGAGATAAATTCTAAACTCCAAACGTGCCCTGTTACATGCCTTCAACATTCCTTAATATATGCTACAAACATAGGCATTGCCACCTTTGTTAAACATTTCTGCTGACAAAAGGGAACGAGAGATGAGAGAAACATCCCCTACTTTTAGGCACAAATGATGGGGGAATTTGATGAATAAAAAACAGCATTCATTTTTGTGGAAAAAAAAAACCCTAGAGATTAATGCCAGTCCCCCATCCTTTTTTTCTTCATTAATTACTTGGGATCTGAAAATTAGGGACAATGGCAGATTCAAATGACCTTTCTTCTTCTTCTTCAAGGTACCACCTTTATTTTACATGAACCCTTGGGTTTTCTTTTCTTTTCTTTTTAATACGTGTGTGTTTTCTGAGTCTGATTTCGAATGTTTTCAGTTTTTGAATAAAATGATATATAATCCATGAAGAATTATCTGATGAACATTTATTCGATTAAAAAAAAATGAGATTTGATTCTCGAAATACTTTGAAATTTTATATATATTGGTATTCGAGCTCGGGACCTTAAGAAATAATAATAATCTCTTTACTACCGAAATCGTTTGGTTCGTGTATAATAAATTTTAAATAATAATAAGTCAACGTTAACAAAATTTAACAAAAATAATGGACACATTTAATAAGATAAGGGAAATATATCATTATCTCATTCTTCAAACAAAATAATGTTTCTTTTATGAAAACGGCTAGTTCCATTAAAAATTATAAAATATGCATAATTACAATGAAACTTTATAACCATAATCATAAATTAAATACATAATAAATATATTTTTTTATAGTTATTGACGTAAGAAATTAATCACTTAAAGATTACATAAGTATCATATAAAGAAAAACAATTAAAAAATCTAAAAAAATTACTTAACATAAATATGAAGAGATCTGACCGTATTAAAAAACGAACCATAAAATAGATTAAATTGCTGAAAAATTATTAATAAATTGTAAATCAAAATCGAATTACATGAAAAAATTATTCACAAACACAAATCGTCTATCCAAATTTAATTTAAAAGTTTAAAGTATGAAGAAATAATATAATAATAAATAAATATCATCTTAATTTATCAAGATGATACCGGATTAAACTCTAAAATATTAAAAATAAAATAAAAATAATAACGGAGAAAAACTTGCATAGAGTTATAGTTATAGTTATGTATATCACGTGTTTGATTTTATTCCCCAGTGGCAGTGCTGAACCATCAACAGACAACAAAAGTTGGAATAAAGGAGGCAACGAAAAGAAAATATGGGAGACTTTTCGTCTTATTTTGAAGAAGAATCGAGCTGGTTTCTCCGACGCAATCTCATCTCTCGGTAACCTAGTCATCCATTTCTTCGTTTTTTCCATTGTGATGATTGACAATTATAAGTCAGAAATGTGAGTTATTGTTTTCTTCAGACCTGGCACAATTTAGAACTGAATTAGAAAGAACAGTTCCACAATCTGAAGAACCGATTCCCGACGGTTGCTCAACAGATACTGCACAACCCAAACAATCGGTAGCGAAGCCTTTGACGGAAACCTCAGAATCCAAACAATCGGTGGAGAAGCCATTGGCGGGAACCGCCGATTCCAAACAATCGGTAGAGAAGCCTTCGACGGGAACCGCGGAATCCAAACAATCGGTGGAGAAGACTTCGACGGGAGCCGCAGAATCCAAACAATCGGTGGAGAAGCCTTTGACGGGAACTGCAGCATCCGAACAATCGGTGGAGAAGCCTTTGACGGAAAATGCAGATTCCAAACAATCGGTGGAGAAGCCTTCGACGGAAACTGCAGAATCCAAACAATCGGTGGAGAAGCCTTCGACGGAAAAAGCAGAACAGGAGTCGAATTCTTCGAAAACTAGCACTTGTTCAGACTCTAAACATCAGAATAGTTCGCATTGGCGTGGATTCTTCCCTTCTCTGAAAAAAGGAGTTGCAATCCCTATTTATGGTTTCCCGCCATTGATACCCAAGTTCACGAGAAAAAAAAGTAAAAGAATCAAAGAGGAACTCATCCCACAGCCATCAACTGAGTTGGATACGATGCGTTTAATTTAAAGCTCTTGGAAGAACTTCACCTTCGCTGATCTTCAGGAAGCAACTGATAACTTCAGCCGTGGTATATTTCTTCTTTATCTCATTTTTACTGATTTCCAATTGTTTTAAGCTCAATATTCTGAATTTGGGATTGAAAATAGTTGATTACGAAATAACATTTAATTCAATTAATATCTGCAATTCTTTTTCATTTCTCCCTGGAGACTATTGCCTTCGTATAAAATTACGATGGCGCCGCATCATAATATCTTTTTAAGATTATCGCGACACTGTATATGCATCCGTAATATAAAATCATAATTAATTTTAAGAAATAAATCACGTCTACTGTACTTGTATCTGCGAAATCAAAAGCACAACCACAACTGCAATTTATTACTATGACTACCTCCTTCAATTCCTTTTGACATATTCTTATATGTTTGTTTTTGTTGAGAAGAGAATTTGATAGGAGAAGGGGGGTATGCGGAAGTTTACAAAGGGAAAGTAGAAGATGGAAACCTCGTGGCCGTAAAAAAGCTAACGAGAGGGTCACCGGAAGAGATGACAATGGATTTCTTATCAGAGCTGGGAATTATAGTTCATGTGGACCATCCTAATATTGCTAAACTCATTGGCTATGGCGTCGAAGGAGGGATGCACCTTGTTCTTCAATTATCTGCTCATGGAAGCTTGGCTTCTTTACTTTATGGTTCGTTTCTCCATACTTTGATTTCTTTCCGATTGCTTATTAGGATTTAATCAGATATTTAAATGTCTGCTATCGGATTAATGGCCGTTATATTACTGTAATGTATTGTTTGAAATCGTTATTTCACAACCGTGACATCTGCAATGAGCGTAATAGTATTTGTTAGTGTCGCAATTGTGACAAATCCAACACGACCATAACCACCATTTAAATTTTGTGTTTAATCACTTGTTCATACATGCAGGGCCAAAGGAGAAGCTGAATTGGCACGTGAGATTCAAGATAGCTGTAGGAACTGCGAAGGGCCTTAGATATCTTCATGAAGGTTGCCAAAGGAGAATTATCCATAAAGATATCAAGGCCGCTAACGTTTTACTTGCAGAAGACTTTACTGCTCAGGTACATTTATTTTCATATTGAATTAAATCATATAACATGAATTTAAATTGTGGTTATGATTGTATTTTCGATTATGTTGTGTTTATCACAATTACAAATATAACAAACGTTATTGCGTTTACCGTAGATACCAAAATCGTGTTTTTTTTAATTCGCACGATTTATTATGTAATTTTAATTGTTGCAACGAATTGTGATCATGGTTCACCATTATTGCTGTGATTGTCTTTGTCTACTTGTTAAATTGTGGTTGCGATTCATCGTTATTGGTGTGATTCCACCAGAGTTTTAAATCACGGTCCGAAAACGTGATTTCGTCCGCGAAATAGCGGTTTCGCCGTCGTCCGAGTTACCCGCCGCTATTTGAAACCCTGGATTCTGCTTCAGACCACTATTTTTCGCAATAATAATCTCAGATGACAGCATTACTATTATATAGTAACCACTATTCCGTTACTTGACTGTTATTTAAATCCTTAAATCTTAAACCATATACCCTAAGTATTGAAATTACAAATTTGCCCAGATTGCGGACTTTGGGCTTGCGAAATGGTTACCTGATCAATGGACTCATCATACAGTCTCTAAAGTGGAAGGAACATTCGGGTATGTCCTTTTCTTCATCCCAAACATTTAAAATCGATTTTTGTTCCATAAAGATTGTCATCACAGTTATCTTCCTCCGGAGTTCTTCATGTTCGGCATCGTCAATGAAAAAACCGACATCTTTGCTTACGGAGTACTGCTGTTGGAGCTCATCACCGGCCGACAACCGTCATAGTTCCCAGCAGAGCCTTGTTATGGTACGTTCACTTCCCTCCACACTCAACAATATTCAAATTTACATGTTAATTCTTCAATATTATTTATATAATTAATAAATTTGAATATCTGAATATTAAATTTGGAATAAAAAAATTAGCGAAATGCTGG